TCCTTATTTTTGTTCACTTTGTTCTCTATCTGTACTGTCTTCTCTCAGTATCTTTTCATCCACCCTTGCCCTGAAAAACGAGAATGACACTAAAACATAGGCACTTTTTCTTTCTAAGGACCCCTCAAGCGATATTATAAACTTAATACCTTGGGGAATTCTGCAGAGACTTTCCAAACTGGTACACTCAAAATCAGTGTCAAGGCCCTGAGGGTGATTGGGCCCCAACTTCTGTCACCACAGTGATTTCTAGGTTGATTGGGCGCACTTGACATCCTTGGGTCAAGGGTATGGACAAGTAGCCCTGTGCCATTTAGAACCACCAAACACTCTTCCAGCCCATGGAAGCAGCATCAGGAAGTACTGCGGATTATTACCTGCTGACTTTATGTGAACTTGTCCTTCCAATAAATACTTATTTTCCTTAGAAAAGGGCAAAAAGGTGTCATGATATATTACTTAGGTAACTGTTATATACTCATAGAGTAGTGCACTTGTATTAATTCTTCACCATACAAAACAAAGGATATATACAACATTTGGTGACTTAATGGAAATAATATTTATTTAGGGGGTGGCGAATTCTAGGCAAAATAAATAACGCATCAATATTCCTAACACCCAAATGGTTGACATGTGATGCAATTTACATAAGGCTTCTTTTGAATTTCATTTTTTGGAGCTTTCCTTCATATATCCATAACTGGCATTTAAAAAAATATCTACAATATGCCAGGTATTTTATACAAATTGGGTCTAATCCCTACCCAATCCCTAAATAGTGGGTATCATTTTCCCCCTTCTGCAGATGAGGAAACTGAGACACAGTTAAAGCATCTTCTTCAGGGCCACACAACTGGCACATGGCAGAGACCAGTTTAGAATCTGGGTTTTTCTGACTCTTAAAGATCTCTTGCTGGAAGTAAAATTACTATGTCGAAGACACATCTGCATATTCATGTTTATTGCAGCACTCTTCACAATAGTCAAGATATGGAATCAGCCTAAGTGCCCATCTATAGCTGAAAGGATAAAGAAAATACATTTCTTTATGGGGATGATTAGGACAATGGAATACTATTCAGCCATAAAAAGGATGAAATCCTGTCATTTTTGGCAACATGGATGAGCCTGGAGGACATTATATTAGGTGGAATAAGTCAGGCACAGAAGACAATTACTACATGTAACAAACCTGCACATTTACCCCTTGAATCTAAAATAAAAATTCAAATTATAAATAAAATAAATTTTAAAAACATTAAAAAAGAAACATACCACATGATCTCACTCATATGTGGAACCTAAAGAAGTCAATTTCATAGCAGTACAGAGTAGAATAGTGGTTCCTAGAGGCTGCTGAGGGTATGGGGGAGGGGAGGAATGGGTAGAGATTGGTCACTAGGTACACAAAGTTAAACAAGAAGAGTAAGTTTTGATGTGCTATTACATAGTAGGATGACTACAGCAAATAACAATGTAATCTATATTCAAGACAGCTAGAAGAGAATATTTTGACTGTTGTTACCACAAAGAAATAATAAATGTTTAAAATGATGGATGTGGTAATTACCCCGATTTGATAATTATACTGTGTATCCATGTACTGAAACATCACATTGTACCCCATAAATATGTACAATTATTAGGTGTCAAATTATAAATACTTATTTTTTTAAAAAAAATTCTTTCCTCAGCAACATATTGCTGCTACAGCCTCAAGGAATTGGAAATTTTTGATATACAAATATGAATAAAATGTGGACGCTGTAGATTCTGGCAGTATTTCAACTACTTCTAAACTTTAATTTTGAAAAGACGAATAGTGAAGCATTGGTCACGTGTTCCTTTTTCACCAGGAGCTATTCAGTAATTTCACAAGCTAAACCCTTCCAGTTCTGTCTTAGAAGGACTGACATCTGGATCATATTGGCAAGGGGGTGTTTTAAACATAAGAGAAAATTAGGAGAAAGACCTAAGACTAGATTACTTCCACGAGTTCACTCACCAATATCTGCTCAAGTACTGTCTTTTTTCTTATAACTAGCTTGTCATCCATTCTTTCCACTCAGTGAACAATGGCTTGTGACCTCACAGTTAGCGAGTTCACAGGAGAAATATATCAGTTGTAATTAATGTTTACTGGAATAAATGTAAATATTTTAAAACATACAACAGTTCCAAGCACATGTGATTTCCATTTTATTTTATGAAACACTAAAAATCCACTTGTCCACCCCATTAATTATAACCTGCTCCCAGCCCCGACCTGTATATAATTCCTCCTGACATAAATTGGAACAAGGTGCTCAGAATGGAAGCAGCCTACACCCCAACTGGGCTACAAAATGTCAAGTTCCCAAACCTCTCAAAAGTGTAACCTGACATTTTGCTAAGATTAGAGACAGTTTATGAATTTAAAAAGAGGGCTTAAGGACTCACCATAGTTAAACCTACAGTAACTCCTGAAATATCCAAAGTAAACAGGACTAAGGGAGCCCTGGGGACACCAAAGCCCTGTTAGAAGAGAAGGAACAGTCTTTAGTGGGTGGTATTTCTTTGCAGAAAATAATGTACATGCATTCAACCAGAATTAAGAAGAATGCAACAATAAACTTTGAGGCTTGAAGCCCTCTAGAGATCTAAAGGAGTCATGAATGGGGCCATGTGAAATTATTTCTCCTTTTGCTACATGTGAATGATTGAATTTATACTGTCCATTAATCCTAAATGTTGAAGGCAAAAAAAAAAAAAAAAGAGAGAGAGAGAGAATGGCTAACTTTTTAAATAGTATTTTTCTTGACATGAATATAATATGTATTTATTATACATATGTATAATGTATTTTGGTGAATATTTATAACGTTCCCAAAGAGCAAAACACCTATAGAAGGGCCTAACCGCAAAGAAGCAACATTCCACAGGTTGATCTTTCTAGTCATTTTCTGTACCTCTTAGCCACAAAAATGGGATCAGACTTTACATTTTGTTTTGCAAGTTGTTATTTTAAATATAATATATTGGGTGATTTTTCATGTTTAAAGACTCTTCTGACTTTTCAAGATTAATCTTAAGTACCTTTTAGTACAACTAAAGTATTACATCCACTTTCCAAATCAAATAGACTATATAAGCTGAAGACTTACTAAATATTAAAATGTGAGTAATTTTTCCCCATTATAACATGCACTGTCAATAGGGGTGATATTGCCCCCAAGAGGGAGAAAACTAGTTCTCAGTGGCAAAAAAAAAAAAAACCTTACGCTTTTTATGCACAAAGCACAGATATACATAAATAGACATATATTTGTGGTATTAAAATTTCATGCAAGGAGCAATTAGCAAAAAATGTTTCAAAAGGCTTCTTGTGACGGGGGTTGAAAATGAAAATAGGTTGTAAACACTGCACTACAGCATCAGACTTGTAAAAGGTGGCCTTCACATTGCTAGAATTCAGAAGATGATTTTTTCCATTTTAAATTTCTCAACCTCGAATAAATTTTTAACTCATTTCTTAATTACAGACACCAAGTTTCCAAAAAGCAGATCTTTGGAGAGTTAATGTTTTGTGATATGCCCACGGTCAGCACATGTGATATCTGCCATGTTCTTATGAAAGACTCCTTGGGGTCTGGGTTAGGAGGCACATGTTGAGTAAAAGGATGTTTTGAGGGCAGATGAACACATCATCTCGGAAAGGGCTAGGGCCTGCTAAGTCTGCATCTCAACATTTATCAGCTCTTGCTCCGTGCTGCCCTCTTGTGATGTCTGGGCCTCCAGTATGCCTTGATCTCAAAACCTTCAGTTGCCTTAAATTGATGGAACACTTGCCCTCCAGTGCTTCTTGGCACCAACACCTAGGAGATGGTCAAGGAAAGAAGAGAACACCAAAAGATGCAGATTTCCTTATAGGAAGAAGCCAGTGTCAGAAGAGGAAGAAAAAGTCACAAAACTTCCCTTTTGCCCTTTAACCCTAGGAGAGGGTGGGCCAATTTTCCACAAAGCTGCTGTTATTACAGGCCACACAGCTCACCAAGGAGCAAGGCAGGAGCTGAGAATCTTCATCACCTTCTGTGGTAGGCAGACTTTCTAAAATGGCAGCCCAAAGATGTCCACCTGAATCCCTGGAACTTGTGAATATGATATCACTCCTTGGATTGTGTTGTGTTACAGAGCACAGTTGATGTTAGAAAGGGAGATGATGCAGGTGGACCTGACTTAATCTCATGAACCCTTAACTGCTGAGAACTTTTCCTGACTGATGAAAGAGGAATTTAGAGAGATTCTATGTGTGTGAAGGACTCAGTGTGCTGTTGCTTTGAGGTTGGAGACGGCCACTTGAGAAGGAATGCAGATGTCCCTTAGAAAGAGTGGACCACAGCTTATAGGTATCAAGGAGTTCAGTCTTACAGCTGCCAGAAAGTGAATTCTGCCAACAACCAGAGCGAGCTTGGCAGCAAATTCTTCCCTAGGGCCTCCAGATAAGAGCTTCGTCTGGCCAACAGCTTGATTTCAGTCTTGTGAGACCCTGAGCAGAGAACACAGCTGGGCCACCCAGACTTGCAACTTATAGAACCACGAGCTAATAAATGGGTGTTGGTTTAATCTGTACATTTGTGCTAATTTGCTATGCAGCAATAGTAAACGAACACACCTTCCCTTCTCTACAACCATCCTAATGGGGGGCATCCTGGCAATGTCTGTCTCCTAGATCACAGATTCTGGTGAGTGACAATGAGTTCAAATACAGTATCCAATCCCTGGCCTCGAACTGACTTAACCCTTCAAGAATCCACACTAAATCTTGCCAGACAAGTCCTAGCTCTTGACCTCTGCTCTGACCAATTGTCCCTTAGGAAGATTTTAATCACCTTCCGCTTAATGATCAATTTCTCAAGACTCTCCGCTTTCAGACCCTCTACCACCTGGCTTATTTAGTGCTTAGTATCTTCTCCAAGTCAAGCACCCATCTGGTGTATTTCACTCTGGTTGTCTTTTACCTGCTTAGAACTTTTCTTTCTACATCTAGAGCGTGTTCATTCTGCCTCTTCCAATCTCCAGTCTTCATTTTCCTATAACGGGCTGCTCAGAGATTATGTAAGAAGAAAAGTGAAAGTCTGAATACCCTTCCGTGTGTTGATTTTCTTGAATTTTCTATAGGGGAAACAGAAACAGTGATGATATGCCATGATCATATACTATGGTGGAAAGAGAAGGAAAAGGATTAAGCATCAGACATGGCTGAATGTGAAACTTTCTCAGTATTTTATCACCTCTGCATGTTTTTAAATTTTTCTAGGCCTCACGCTCCTCATTTGTAAAAAATAATAGTAATACTTAACTCACAGAGCTGCAAGGAGGAATGAAAATGGTAAAGACCCATATTAACAGAAATCAGCATGCACAAACACTTAAATTTCACTGTGAGAAGAATTGAGGTGGTTGTTTGCATAAACTACTTCCAATTTTTCAGCCTGTAGCTTTGTAAATAATCTTTTTATCTCTTCTATTATCATAAGAACAAAGCCATTGTTACCCTTCCTTAAGGCAGACTTTAGCCTTGACAATTAGATTATTGTATAATATGGAAACAATAATTTGACATTAGAATGCTGTATCCATTACTCTGAGAATAAAGAAAGTGAGTTTTAGGATTAGGAATAAAGTTCTTCAGTTGCCACATTTGTTAGGATATTTCTGGGTTTTCTGTAAAGCTGAGTAAACCCTAAGCCCCATGAAGGCAGGGCCCATGCTTAATTCATCCTGAGTATCTACAGGGTTTGGTTGAAAACTGTGTCCTCAGTAAGTACTGACCCACTTATTCATTTATTTATGCATTGAAAAATCAGTTAAAGAGTAAAATTTAGCTGGGCACAGTGGTACGCCTGTAGTCTCAGCACTTTGGGTGGCTGAGGTAGGCGGATTGCTTGAGCCCGGGAGTTCGAGGCCAGCCTGAGCAACATAGTGAGATCCCATCTCAACAAAGAAAAAAAAAAGAGTAAAATTTATGCTGAAAACTGTGGTGAGCTCAACATTTTATTTTTTTTGAATTCTCTTATATTCCTAGTGAACATTTATAACTTTAATTTTTCTTCTAATTAATAAATCTTCATACTTCTCTAATAGAACCAAAGGGGATATTTGGATATTTGGGGGTTGGGGAGAGTGGGACATATGCTCCCCCAAATCTCCAAGTTCTTCAGCTTCTGACTTGTGCTCCAACCTGAAAATAAACCCAGAAAGTGTCATATAAAATGGCCAACATATTTCCAACTGTTTTCTTCCTTTTGTATTTCTGGTTCATTACCCAGGATGCATTTCCAGTGTCCTAGTGGCCCTGTCTTACACCAACTATTGCTTCCTGCTTCTGAACATCAGGGACTTTAAATTCCAGATTTAAGAGACTTGTGTGCTGAAGAGCTTTTCTCTTTCTGTAAATTACTTGTCATTAAAATAACAAAGGATGTACTCATTAGTCAAATTAAAGATCATCTATCTGGAAGTGTATCAAACGGAGATAAAGTATAAAGAAGCATTGTTGATAGTTTTTTTTAAAATGTGGACTTAATGAATAACTTTGCTGTTAAAATTCAGCAGCCAAGGGCAATGAAAAATTCCCATGGCTTTAAAATTCACAGCCTTGGCAGACTTCTTAATGGACAAAGTTCAAGATATTCATAGCTTCTCTGACTTAAAATAAAAATCCCCAAACCACACAAGGTAGCATTATTATACTCTGAATACTCTTTAGAAAAGGTCTTATTAGCTGATTCTTCATAATTATTTGCTAAAAAAGTTGAGTGTTATAATTTAGCCTCTCACTAGCTTAGCCTTTAGACATAATGTAGCATTATTGCTTTAAGTTGTATACTGGCTTAAGATAAGTAACATGCTTCACAACAACCTGCTTATTAGTAGAGTCCCTTTCTAAGTCATTACCCTAGAGCAGGGTTCTGCAAACTATAGACCACAGAACACCTATGTACCAAATCCAGGCCTCTGCCTGTTTTTGTGTGGCCCACAAGCTAAGAATGGTTCTTACATTTTTAAGTGGTTGAAAAAAAATTTTTTAAATATTATTTTGTGACTTGTGAAAATTATGTGAAATTCAAATTTCAGTGTCTATAAATAAAGCTTTTTTGGAACACACTTACCTCCAATTGCTTTATATAGTCTATATCGAGCTGCGGGGTTTGGACAGAGACTGCATGGCCACAAAACCCAAAATACTTACTGTCTGGTCCTTTATGAACAAGGGTGCTGACCCCTGGCCTAGATTCACGTTGTATGAGAATGGTACAAAGAGCTTGACACTTTCTCTCCTAATAGTGTGGGGTTGTCCATAGATCCTGGTAATCACATGATCCTGCTCTGACTACTGCCCTTGTCACATATGCACACAGACATATACATACACACACACGTACATGTGCATACACACTTTTTTTTTCTAATTATTGGGAATGGGGAAGAAGGAGAATGACTAATAGCCAAGCCTACCCCTGTTCCCTAGGGTTGTGGGAATATTCTGCTTGTTCCCGTTGGCGACATGGAATTGGAGTATTGGTTTTTGTTTTGTGTTGTTTTGTTTTGTTTTGAGACGGAGTCTCACTCTGTCGCCCAGGCTGGAGTGCAGTGGCGCAGTCTCGACTCACTGCAAGCTCCGCCTCCCGGATTCACGCCATTCTCCTGCCTCAGCCTCCAGACTAGCTTACAGGCGCCCGCCAGCAGGCCTGGCTAAATTTTTGTATTTTTTTTTAGTAGAGATGGGGTTTCACCATATTAGCCAGGATGGTCTCAATCTCCTGACCTCGTGATCCGCCCGCCCTGGCCTCCCAAAGTGTGGAATTGGAGTATTTTAATCTGGAATAAAATATTTGTAACAATTAAGCAAATGGTTTCTGCTTTTTTTTCTTTTTTCTTTTTTTTTTTTTTTTTTTTTTACCACCAATGACCACTTAAAAAAAAATTCTAAATGCTTGGATGCTATGCTTATCATTTTAAAAAACAGCTTCATTGAGATACAATTCACACGTTACAAACATCCATTTCAAGTATATAATTCAGTGGTTTTTAGTATATTCAGAGTTTTGCAACCATCACCACTACCTAATTCCAGAGCATTTTCATCATCCCCAAAAGAAACCCCATACCCATTAGCAGTCACTCCCCATTCTCCCCTCCCCTATCCATTGGCAACCACAAATCTACTTTCTGAATCTATGAATTTGCCTCTTCTGGACATTTTATATAAATAGATCATACAATATGTAGCCCTTTGTGACTGGCTTCTCTCATTTGGCATAACATTTTTTAAAAACCTTTTCACTTTTAACTTCATAAATCCTCAGGTTTATAAGTATTTGATAAAACAATCATTGAAAAAGTAATTGTACAATATCCTCTGGGTTTTTCAAAACGCTGAAAAAGGTCCACAAACTTTTCTTACAGTCCCTAGGGATGACTATGAGTCTGAGTAATGCCATGTAAGGCATCATTCTGCCACCACATGCTCATTCTATCATTTACTAAGCAAATATTTACAGAGCACCTGGTATATGCCAAGTGCTTCTTGAGGTGTGGAATAAGACATGCCTCTGAGTTTCAGATCTAAGCTCTTCACAACCTTCCTTTTCATTAGACACTGGCTTGTTTTGCCAGCCTGTAAACAGCATATTGCCAACACACTGTACCTACCTATATATTTTCCAGACTTTGAGTCTTTTATATAAAAATGAAAAATGATATCATTTCTTAAATTATTTAAAATGATTTAAGTTGCCTTTAACTTTCCAAGTACCTGGAAAAATCTCCTGAATCCTCATCCCCTTCTTTTCCTACTTATCTGCCCAAATTTTTGTCCTTTCTTCCATCTTAGAACCCTTTTCTCTTTGATTAATATACTAAATTCTTTAGCATATGATAGTAAGATATTGCAAATAGCCATGGGGTATCAGACAAGCAAAGAAACAAAATTCATACTTTGGTCATTCATGACTTTTTTTCTTAGTATCTAGCTAGATGTCTGTCATCATTGTTATTGCTCACTCACTAGCAAAGGTTCAGAATTTCTATTCCAGAGGTAAACTAGGCAAAGTCTCTACAATCCAGGCAGACAGAGCTTAAAATAGTGGCATTAAGGTCACTGTGTATTAGAAACTGAATGGTATGTCTTTCCTCTAATCAGGTGAGTCTCTCTTATGAACAGTTCTTCTAAATGTTGGACATTTGTACTTACTAACATTGCTTGATCTTAAAGGACAGAGTCCAAATCAAGCACATCTGGGCATATTTAACCTGGAAAAACTGCCCCCAGAAGGCCATGTTAGCTTTGTCTTTGAAGAGCTGTCAGTGAACAGAGTAACTGCACGTGTTCTGTGTTGTAGAGAGGGGGCCAAACAGGGGTAAAAGATATATAGAGAGAGATACAGATTTCCCCTAAGGACAAACTTTGTCACTGCAAATGATGTTCCTCATTGGAGTGAGCCTTCTGAAAATCTCCTGTTGTGCTAGCATTTCTGGGGGCCATTAGAAACGGGTTGCTGGTGATATGATAGGAATTCAACCAGGATAAGGTTTGAGACCAAAGATCTTTAACTCCCAATGATGTAGATTCTGTGGCAAGGGTGATGATAAGGAACCCGGATGGGGAGAATTTTGGCTTAAAGCAGCTACAATGGTTCAATCCCAAGGATTGGTACACTTTTGTAAGTGAAAGAGATGATGTCTTAATGCCAAGGGTAACATACTTTTTAAAGCATTTATGCAGCAATTTAACAAATGAAAAGGAAAGCATTAGTTAACATTTATAGTTAAATGTGGGAGATTTTTAACCTGTCTAGATATTCAACATTATATTCCTTAAAAAAATTGAGCCAAAGGCTAAAAATAGTCTTTTGAAATATATATATTTCAAAATACATAGACACACATGCATAAATAATTAAGTCTTTAAATATAGATTCTTAAAATGTATTATATGCCTGAACTTGCTGGATCATTAGACAAGAGCTGCATGAGAAAATCTGAAATTTAAAAACACAGGCAGTATGTACTTTTTACAAGAAAATAACGAGCCACAGGGAAGAAACTATCTTGACATTAATTATGAAGAACATAATACTTCAAAATCTTGACTTCATTGCCTTAGACTTCATTGCCTTAGACTAGAATTAATCAGAAGTTCTCTTCATTTCTTGAAATTATGTTCTCTTGATTCAAAGTTATAAATCTCAAAGCTGTATAGTTTGAAAAGCTTTTAGAAGGCTTTGTTGTCTGAAAAAAAAATGGATTGCCTCTGCTATATACATTTTTAAGGCTGACAATTAAATATTTTCTCATATTGAATACGCTATCTTATGTTATAACTTGAAGGGCTCTGATGAGATTTAGTACCAGCTAGAGTATCTGAAAATCCCTACAAGTTCAGTTATGACATTCCATTACATGGAAGTGCCATTTTATCCCAAATAATCAAGGTTACATTTTAAAATTTTACTTTCCATTAATTAATTCAGTGATGCATATATGCAACAGGTAGGTAAGTTTTGTGGTAGGCATTGAGGAAAATTCAAACTGTCCACTGTACAAGTTTCAAATACTTATTCACAGAGTTGTTTAACAGGATTGCCAAAAAAATTGAAGTCTATTTTTTTCTCTACTGACATTTTATGTACTTGCTAATCTGCCTGTCAGCTCAAGTTGTAGCTTTTGAGATGCTCAGCTGCTGTTATAACCTCAGCGAATAAACTCTAATTTGTAAGAAGATACTGTAACCTTAAAAGGTCTCCTTATATATTCCTTGCACATATTGGAAGAAAGGCAAAGATGAGCATGACTGGGGACTATAGTGACATTATTAGGTTTATCCTAAGAATAACATGGCTTCTTTAA